AGAGCGGCAGCTGGCAGAGCGCTGTCTCTCAGCAATGCGCCCTTTTTAGGCAGTGAGTACAATTTTACGTGGCTGGTGGGCAAAAGTTGAAAGCTTTGTCCTGAGTAAAATATCTCCCTGGACTGGTTCCTAGCTCCAGTGTTCAATGCTGCTGAAGGCTACTTTAGATCAGTTTTGAAAACTAATATGCTAAAAACGTTAGCACGTCAGTAGTTTTCTCATTAATTCTCAAGGACATTACAGTTCCGGTAAGGTATTTGGTGGCTCAGGGGAACGCTATTCTCTTTGGAACCCATGGTGTCTGGGCAGTAGGTCTTCTCTGGAGCTTTGCAGGACGCAAGCACAAATACTTTAACGCGTAAGTGTAGAGGGTTCTGTGCTGATATGTTAATGGAGTTTACACAATCAAAATGACTGTGAATTGCCAAAGGAGTTTCATTCAGGGGGAAAAGAAAAAAGTGGTATTTGAGCAGAAGCTTGCAGGCCTGCAAAGACAAGTGTTGCTCATCAGGTGAGGAAGCTGAGCCTGTATTGACTTGTCGGCAAGCCAATGTAAATTAATAGAAAGAGTTATGTGTTGCAGCTGTCGAGGCTGCCATCACAAATTCTGGGACATCGTACACTATCTGGTGAAGTCTTTAGTCCCTGTGAAGCATGATAACATGCTTGTTAAAGGGAGTGATAGGAACTGATAAGCCTAGTGGGGACATGATGAAACTAACTAAAAGAGAATGCCAAGGAGAAAGAGGCACTAGTCCCGGCCAGACTAGGCAAATGGTAAACCCATTCCAGGAGCTAGAGTTACTTATTTCCATTCATTCAAAAAACAGAGCATGAAATTCCTTTCCTGACTTTGTTTCTCTTCCTTTTTTTGTTCCACTCTCGCTGCATTTGCACACACTGTCATTCATTTTGTTATACCCAATAGTCCCTTGTAAGTAAAGGAATTGATTCCGTATTGTTATGGCGTGTGATTTGGGGCAAGAACTCAGGTGTTGGCCACCCACGTTGCAGGGGAGCATCCTAACTGTCTGGGTTCATAGTTTTTCATGCAGTGAATGTTTATTTATGCAAAATGGAACAGGTCCGGTTAGGGTATCTGTACAGTTTCTCTTGGCTATCCATAGTCTTGTTGGTTAATACACCCACTGAATACAGGAGATGTGTATTTGTTAACAAGCTCTAGGTACAACAGATTTGTCGGACGTCTCCCAGTGCAGGTCTGTAAATGTGGGGTTATTAGGTAGAAGCTGAGAGAGAAAAAGAATGAGTTTTTTGAAATGGAGGATGTCAGTGTTGGAGAAATAGAGTTCCTGGACAGTGATTACAACTGACTTTCCTTCCGCAGGGGTTATTACATCCGCGCCCGTGCTGTAGATCACTGTGTTCAAGACTTCCT